AGCGAACGAAGCGTGGAGTGAAGCGCTGGGTGCAACGCCTGCCTCTTCATCAACCAACACCTCTGCCGTCCCTCCCTGGTCGGATCTGGAGCGCGCTGCTCAGTTGCATGACCAGGACATTGGCGGTGTGGCTGGAAATAGTTTGGCAGCGCTGGCAAGCGTGGCCCAGTCTCAATTACCAGTCGGAGCCATGTCTGCCGCCTCTGCCATGCTGGGAAACGCGGCCGAGGCTGGATCAGGCGCTTCTTCCGCGCTACCCTTTCATCTCAACAGCAGCACGTGGTCCACCTCTTCGCCCAGCTTCATGCCCGATCCGGCAAACGAAGCGATGATGCCTTCCATCGATGATATTCTCGAATCTTTTCTCGCTTCTTCCGCCGCCACATCCTTCTCCGGCAGCGGAAGCGGCTTCTTTCTCGATGGCGCAAACGACATTTTCCCAGCGCAGTCAGCTCAACCGTTTGCGCCGTCGCTCAGCGACCATGCTGTTCCCACGCCTGGCACGAGTGTCGCAGCGCATACAGCCACACCTCCATCGGCTCCCTCTCCGGCATCGCACTCTCTTCAGACCTCTTGCAGTCCTTTCGTTCGTGCAGCAGCATCGAGTCTCGGTACGCCCCGCATGCCGTTCCCTTCTTCGCCTTCCATTCCTCAGCACTCTGCGCATCGCTCCAGCGATCCGCACCACAATAGCAGGCAGGGCAGCGAGTCTGCCGCTGCCGAAAAGGTGGCTAGCGAGACTAGGGATCTGGTCATCAAGGGTGTCGTCTTGCCTCGACTGCCTCAGGCTGCGAGCGCCGAAGAGATCTTTTGGTGTGTTGTAAAGTGATTGAGAGAGCGAGGCCCAGTCGCTGATGTCCTCGTTTCCGCCCCTTCTCCGCCATTAGGCTCGCGAACAGCCGCTTGCCCACGCTCGCTCCCGTCATACCTCCCGCTTTCATGCAGCAAGGAGTGCAGGCCAAGACATTTCCCGTGCTCTACATTATCGTCTCGGTGAGCAGCGAGTGTGTCCCATCAGCGGATGAGCCTGATGCCTTTGCTCACCCATCTGGGTTCTCTAGGCGCTCGGCACGCTCTGGCATAGCGACCCAAGCGTTCGCGAGTACGGCTTGTCCTTGTGGTACTTTACCTACCTGGCCATGTGGACGCAGTCTGGCTTTCTCATTGATGACTCACAAGCCACCGCATATGGACTCGTGGTGGCTCTGCATGCGCAGCTCTTTGCCAAATTGAGTGGCGAAAAGTTTGCAGGCTTTCGGAAAGCCAGGCTCGGATATAATACTCTGCGTGAGTGGCGTGCGGGGGCCGTTGATCGGAAGCTACGAATGTTGAATGGGGCCCCCATGCTCCTGCAGGTGCCACCTCCCGCGAACGAGGCTGGCGTCAGCTCGATGCGCCATTCAGATTGGCCATTTTCGCCGCACTCGACTCTCCAGACCAATTGCGCTTCGCGCACGACGTGTTGCAGGATCAGAGGGCTTCCTTTGAAGCTCGAGCTTCTGCACTGCGAGCGGCAGAGGCAGCGTGGGCAGCGTGGCAAGAGCGGGAGCAAGCCACGAGGACAGCCATCGTGATGGCCATCATGGACGGGCAGAATACGCCTTATGACGCGTCGCTGCAGCCCGACGGAAGCAATGGCATCGAAGCCTTCGATTTGGGGGCCAGCAGCGTCAATATCCTCTTGCAGGCCGTCTTGCCCACCTTTAACATCGAAGCCTGGGCCGCCAAGACGAGCATGGAATGGCTCAAGGCGATACTGGCACCCTCGGCGAATGCGTTCGAGCAGAGCTCCTTGCAGTCTGGTGGCCTACACTCCCTCCAGGTGGGCCAGATTGTGGATGAGATGCTAAATGGCCAAGAGGAGGTGACGCTTGCAGTGTTTGAGAAGCGTCACACTGCTCTCTTGGAACTGGCAGTATTAGAAGGTCTGCACTTTGCCTGGCTTGGTCGCAAGCATTCCGACGGCGGGTGGGTACGAAGCATGACGCGGGCTTTTCATCCAAACGAAACTGCTGCCAAGGCGCACCCGACGATGCCCTGGGCATCGCCCAACCACTCTTCGGGCACATCGCTTCAGGATCAAGTGCACGCAGCGCTGGCTCGTTGGCCAAGTCTGCCCTTTACGGATGTGTTCAGCTCGGCCCAGACTCGCAATAGCACGGTGGATGGGACGCTGCACGTGCATCTGCGCTGGCATTCCGTCTGCCTGGAAGCGTGCGTAGCGGTGAGCGAAATTCGAGCCATGCTGCAAACGCAACAAAAGCGACGAATCGGCTCAGACATGGGCTCAAAGGCGTCGTCGAGGGTGGATGTGGCGACGAGGATGGCGAGAAGGAGTTATTTGGATCAAGCTAGGATGAGACGCGCAGCTCACCACGCAGCCGTCATTCTCGCTTCCGCTTTTGCTCTGCCCAGTCAACAACTCATGCACCTTCACATCTCCCAATCCGTCTGCTCCTCCACCGCCCTGCTGTTGGCCATCGCGCTCGAAGAGAGCGCAGAAAGGCAAGCAAGCACGAGCATCAACGGCACAAATGACGCGATGACTCCTGCTCCTGTTGATGCTGCTACCGCTGCGGAGCTTTGGCACGTAGCTCAGATCGAGACGGATCGAATCGTGGGCGATGCGGGATGGGCGGTGGCGGCGGCTGTGGGAACAAATTCGCATCGAAGCGGCAGCAGCACGGAGCGCAAAGCGCAGAGGGAGCAAGGAGAAGGAGGAGGGGGAGCAGCAGCGGGCGCGATTCGAGAGTGGATATGTACGGGCAATGAGCGCATCGCGCCATTCTTGTCAGGCACGCCTTTGGTGCCGGGCGAGGCGCTTCGGAACAAGTTGAAATCTGTAGTGTACGATGTCAGATCTTTGCAGCGACCTTTACCCTCTCACCTCGCACCCTGGCTCGATCTATTTCTCGCCGTTGTAGCATAATCATCACCGAGCGTCTCGTCTCGAGAGGAAACAAGCAGTGCAAAAGGATGACGGATATGTCACGTTTTTGTGAAAAATTCTTCAGCGGGGTGCGTGAGGCAGAGGTGTGGAGGGGCGAGGGCGCACAGCGGAGGGGAGCAGGATTAGGAGGAGCTAGCGCCCACTGCCAGACGTTTGAGGTGCTCCAAGAAGACTTGCAGACTGACATCGTCCGTAAAGATGGCCGCGCCAGCACCTGCCGTTCCGTACATGCCTCCGCCAGACATGTGGGTGGTGCTGGGGTTGAGTTTGGAGAGCAAGAATCTAGCCTGACTTCCATTCTGATCGCAGACAATGTAACGCGGAATGGGAAAACGATCCTGCAACAGATCTTGAGCATCCGCTTTTGGATTTTCCAGCACCTCTTTGAAATTCTCGTAGCCTTCTTGATCTTGATAGCCAGCTTTGCGCCATTCGGCAATCGTCGTGCCGTGAAAGATGAGGATGTGGAAAAAGGTGTCGAGGAGGAGCACCACGTCTGGCTTGATGCTCACGGAATCCAACAGCACAGGTTGAGGGGGCGTGTCGAAACCGTAACTCATCAGCGTCGGTTGGATCATGATCAGACTGTTGTTCACATCCTCCGTATTGAGCACATGTCGATAGAATGCCGTCTCGTCGGGAGAATTGTTAAACACCTGCAGAAACTGACTTCTTCGCAGGTGGAACATGAACTGAGGGTAGATGCTGAACCCTTCCGAAAGCCTAAAGGATGTCGGATCGTCCTTTCTGTAGTCCGCAAACTTTTGGCACAGCCGGATCAGCATCCTGTCGAGCCACCTGAGCACATCTGGAGAGTCGTCAATCTCCGCTTTGAACACTGCGATTCTCGCCATCAGCACCGCCGCAGCTTCCTGGTCGAAGGAAGCTGCAATCTGCGCAGAGCCGCCTTCGGCAAAGTTCCGCGCTATCGTAGTGACGCGAAGTCTGTACTGTCCTGAAGCGTGCTGGTAGTGCGTCACGAATTGGATCAGACCTCGAGAGCCAGGCTGCAGGGGCTGCCCGGCTGGAGTGACGACTTCAAAGTAGACACCCAGAGCAGTGCGCGGGTCGACGCTGCAAATCTTCCAAGCAGAGGTTCCGCCCAGACCAATCTCCGTCTCGCCTACGGATGCAGACTTTTTGTTGGCGGAGATGGCGTGTCCAATCAGACCGCTGACTTTGAGCTCCTTGGTGCACTTTTTGGGTCGAGGCAGGTTGCTGGGGGGGGTTAGCGGATGCGCGCTTCGCACGCGCCACCGATGCTCACCTGAACATCAAAGGTCGCATTGAATCCCATGTTGAGATCACCCTTGTCATCCTTTTGAAAGATCTTTTGGAAACTCTGCTTGAAGATGCCCATCTGGAAAGAGTCTGCAAGGATCATGTGACCGTTGGTAAAGTTGGCCAAGCTTTTCATCTCTAGCAGACCGACCTGATCCAAGCAGCCTGCAAAGATGTCGATGCAGTGCCCATTATTGGCGCTCCTCCTAGCCATCGCCTCGTAAAACTTGATGGCTCGCTTGTAAAACTTGACATTGTCCTTGTCAATGTCGTGGTGAGAGCGGATGCGCTCTCGGAGCTCCGTGGAAACCACATTACCAGGGCCTTCGGTGGCCGGTCCACCTGCAAACAGCATGACGCGAGCACCCGTATTTGGAAAGGTGGTCTCCAGAATGCCCATGGCTACAGAGAGGGCGGTTCCGGTGCAGCGTTGCGCACGCTTGTCGCTCGCGACGGGCCAAGGATCCTTTTGAAGCTGCTCGAGGATCTGAGTCAGTTGGAACTCGCACTGACTGACGGGAAGCAGGAATCGGCTAGCGCCGGCTTGACCTGGCGCGCGCTGCTGCTGCTGCTGCTGCTGCTGCTGTTGCGGATTCGATGGGCCTCCGGGTGCCATTGGACGTGCTCCTGGCGTCAGCGCGAGCATCTAAAGGGAGTGCGATGATAGTGTCAACGCTGCGCGAACCGATGAATTCGCCCTATGCTCACATCCTGGATGGACTTTGGCGTGTACTCCTTGGTACCGCGGAACACGTAGCTCTTTGGGCACGCATCGTAGCCCAGCTCATGCACTTGAGCCTGCGCCAGCAGGTGGAGATGGACGTCAGTGCAGCACAGCACAGCACAGCACAGCACAGCACAGCGGAGTGGAGCAGCAAGCAGGCCGGCTGCTCACCATGGTGCCAAATGTGACCAGACCAACGAGTGCATTCTGGGGCAGCAGGCTGAGACTGAGGACGAGCGTCTCTCTCAAAGCCTTGAGGTCCTCCTCTTCCAAGCACGTGTCGACGACGTAGAGAAAGATGGGAGGGATTTGAGCAGGTCTGCTGAGCGTATACTCGATCGTCGTGTACTTTGGCAGCAACTCCGCCGGCAAGTTGGTGCTGCTAATGTCGCGATAATGGGGTGGGAAAGCGTTGCGCGAGAGACAAAAGGGGCAAATCCACAATTTGCCTCGAACATCGATTTGACTAGTTGTCGAGGTGCGGCACGTTGGAGTGAGTTAGGATGAAGCGAGAGGCGCGCATGTGCGTGCGATTGAAACTGACCAGTAAGGGTTGAGCACTGCTCGACATGGAGGCTTGCAAGTGACTGGCTCGTACATGACAGGAGGCAGATCCTCCCTCTCCTTCAGAGGAGTGTAGAGGGCAGAGATGGGGACCACTGTGCGAGTGGCTTCCACCTTGCTGCTTGGCCAGACGTTCCAAGATAGTCTGACACCATCGTGATCCTCCACGTCGTCTACATTCATCTTGTCGAGAGTCGAGAGAGCGGGTGTGGGGTGGGGAATGAAGAGGTGCGGGATGCAGCGAGTGGGTTGGAGTGCAGCCAGACGGTGAGCGAGCTGATGTGCGCAGCAAGTGAGGGAGCTGGTGATGTGATGGAGGTGCACAAGCAAGCAAGCAAGCCAGCCAGCCAGCCAGCCAGCGACGCTCACTCAACTGCGTGCACATGCAGCGAGCGACTCAAGAAGAAGCGATAGCAGGCGTGTGCGTGTGTGCGTGCGTGTGTACAGTGTACCTGCTGCAGGTGCGACGGCGACGCTCGCGAGTCGCGACTCTGACTGCTGCTGATGTATACACGGCGCGCGCGGCTGCGCTGGCGGGGCGTTGCGTGCCTTTCTCGTCTGCGCACCTGCTGCTGCATGCATGCAAGCAAGCAAGGCCCCTCGTGACTGCCACGCGACATCCAGCATGCACACGCACACGCACACGCACAGCGGGCCTGCGTGCGCACGGTGCACAAGGGTGACCCCGCGAGAGTCGAGTCGATCACGTGTGCTTCTTCTTGGTCACTTTTGACTCTTGACTTGGACTCAAATTGCACCACGCAACGCATGCATCCACACAGCTAGCTTCTAGATCTCTCTCTCTCGAGCAGGTGCATCCACCCCCCAATCTGCGGGCCATACTCAAAGCTCAGGACACAAGGTCAAGAGCGTGCACCGCACCGCACAGCACAGCATGATATGGTCATCTGCTTCAGCTGGCCCTGCCAATACGCTGCTATCGGCAGGTGGATGTAGGCTGCTACCACGCGCGACAATCACAATGTCTGCGCCTCGCATGCTCGCGCCTGCCGCACAAGAGAGGCAGCAGCGATGTGCATTCTGCACTGCAACACGCTTACCCAGGAGCCAGAGTGCTGGGTGTGGAGAGGTGCGTCGGAGAGTCTCGTCGAATGCTTCACCAGCTTGGCACCATCAACATCCAAGAAGCATCAGCACATCGCAATCGCAATCGCAATCGCAATCGCAGCTTAGTCGCGCACCACACGCACCTGCGCAAATGGAGCCGAGGAGCAAGAGAGTCATCTTTAGCGGCATTCAGCCAACTGGAGTGAGTTTGAGTGGAGACCATAGCATAGCGCACCGCAGCGCAGCGCAGCGCAGCGCTTCCCTAAGCGGAATACATAGAGGAGACACGTCTGACCATCCTTGACACCTCTGCGCAGGTACCTCACGTGAGTCGCATCATCCTATCCCCTCTGTCTAACTCAACCACTCACGACTGCCGCTCAATGAACGCGCACGTGCTACACCGACATGGCATGCCCTCGCAATCACTCAGCTGGGCAACTACCTCGGCGCGCTACAAAACTGGGTAAAGCTGCAAGATTCGCAGAGGGCACAAGACGAAATGTACCTGTCCATCGTAGGGCTGCACGCCCTTACAGTCCCTCAAAACGCTGCTCGTCTTCGACAAGAAAAGTGGGACATGCTGGCTGCTATCCTCGCCATAGGCATACATCCTGACAAGACCGTCGTCTTTTTCCAAGAAGATGTGAGTGGGCGGGGCGCCACTGGAGGAGTCGGGGGTGGCATTCGAGGAAAAGCGCGGGTGCTGAGAGCGTGCGTGCGCAATGCACCCGCCCGCCATTCGCGCAGATGCCGCAACATCTCGAATTGGCCTGGATATTGGCGTGCTGCACATCCATGGGAAAGTTGAATAGGATGACCACATGGAAGGTGAGCTGGGTCGATCGCCGCGTGTGCTCTCTTACGATTTTATTTTGGCGTTGCTGAGGCGGGGTGGGGCTGCTGTTTCGGTGCAGGGCAAATTGGCTGCTCTTCAGAGTGCTTCAGAAAGTGGAGAGGCGAGCATGCCTGCCAGCGACGCTTCTGCCCTCAACTTGGGACTCTTCTCTTATCCCGTCTTGCAAGCTGCCGATATCTTGCTGTACAAGTGAGTGGGCACGCGCTCAAATGACGTTGCGGATGTGTTGCCATGCGCAAAGAAACTCACCCGCACCGCACCGCACCGCACCGCACCGCACACGTTCACAGAGCGACGCACGTGCCGGTGGGAGAGGATCAGGTGCAGCATTTGGAGCTGGCCAGAGATCTAGCGGAAACGTTCAATAGGCAACATGCGAATGGACAGAGGTATTTTGCGCCACCAGCACATCTCATCAGTGAGTCGGTACGAGCAAAGTCTTGTCTTGTTGTGCCATCGACTCGTGCATCTGCTCATTCCATCGTCACGCCACGCCACCCACCCGCATCGTGACGCACCAGCACCGACGAAGCGCGTCTTGTCGCTTCGAGACGCGACGCAGAAAATGTCCAAATCATCGACGGATCTCAATTCGCGCATCTTGCTGACGGACGAGGCAGAGGCGATTCGCAAGAAGTTAAAGGGAGCAGTGACGGATTCTGAGCGACGCATCGCATTTGATCCGCATGCTCGACGAGGCGTTTCCAATCTTTTGCGCATCTGTGCGGCATTGGATGAGAGCAGGGATGCGCATGGCTGGGCTGAATGGGTGAATGAGAGAGGAGGGGGGAGCGGAGTGTTGAAGAGGGTGACGGGAGATGTGGTGCTGGCAAAGATGGAGGGGGTGCAAAGGGAAATGAAGAGGATAAAGGGGGACAAGACTTACTTGGAGAAGGTGGCTAGGCATGGAGCTGCTAGAGCAAGAGAGAGGGCGGAGAGGACGATGAGGGAGGTGAGAGAGATGATTGGCTTTTAGACGAGAGAGCGCTTTGCCTTGCCTTGCCTTGGATGGGGCGACGTGCGGGCATGCATGGATGGAAGTCTATGCACGGTCTTGCTGGAGCGTGTGTGCGTGTGTGCGTGTGTGCGTGTGTGCGTGTGTGCGTGCGTGTGTGACTTGTGACTGGGCTTGTGTGCGGGGGTGGGTACGCTTAGGCGAATGTCGCGTGGAATGTCTGAACGTGTGCGAGGGTCGCACGCTTTGTGCTTGATGGGATGGGCGCGATACGCAGCTGTGGCGGGGCCATGCGTCGAATGGATATGGATGTGGATGTGGATGTGGATGGACAGTCACAGTTCAGCTTGAGACACGAGACACGAGTCACGAGCCTGACTCTACGGAGCATGAGAAGCTTGATTGCGTTGCGCGATGTGGCTGTGGCTGTGCATGTTGGCCAGTGTGAGTGACGCGGCGCCCGCGCGCGCATCAGCGCAGTTCCGTGTGCTGCAGCAGCTACAGTACATAGCACAAGCGCGCGCGATAGCAGGCCGGCCGAAATGTGCTGCTGCGAAGGCGCGCGCAGCAGCAGCAGCAGCAGCAGAGGGGCCGGGGGCCGGAAATCACGAGTCCACGAGTTGAGTGCAAGACAGACAGCACTCTGACTGCGTTGCGGGATTATAATTATGGGCGCGGCGCGCGAGTTTGGGTGCGACATTCACATTCACATTTACATTCACATTCACATTCACATTCACGATATTGATGCGAGACGAACGAGGATAGCGCATCACAACGCAACGCAAAGCAAAGCAAAAATGCCATCAACGATCACCTCTTCGCACAAATCCCTCATCAAATCCACCCTGCCTTCCTCCTCCTTTCGAATCTTGACAGCTACGCAAGCTCGCATCTATGTTGCCCATCCTCATCCTTCCACTTGGACCTATGCCGGTCTTGAGGGTGCGCTGGCGTTGGTGGTGGACAAGAGCAGAGGTGGATGCGCTTGGAAGCTGATCGATTTAAAGGTGAGTGGGGGGTGTGGTGGGGGATGTAGTGGGGGGAGTGGGAGTGGGTGCGGGTGCGGGTGTGGGAGTGGGTGTGCAGATGAAGCGAGATGCTGATCATGCGTCCCTTTGCGCATTCATCCCCTCGTAGGGCACAAGAGGAGTGTTGTGGACGCACGAACTGTACGAGCCCTTGTCTTACCACCAAGATCGAGCCTTTTTCCACTCTTTTCCTGGCGATGTGAGTGCGGGAAAGCAGCCTTGTGCTCGGCCATCCCCCGCTTGCTCACATCCTTTCGTCGCAGGATTTCCTGATTGGCTTCAGCTTTGCTGATGAGGCAGAGGCGGGCGAGGTGTACAAAAAGATTCAAAATAGGCACAAGTATGGTCAGTGTGCTCCCGCTTCAAGCATGTCATTCCCCACTCCATCACTGACCCACTTGCTTCGCGCCACGCCACGCCACATTCCAGCCAAGTCAGCCGGCGCCTCATCGCTCAAATCGACCAGTGCGGGCAAGAAATCCAAAAGGGGCGCTGCTTCATCCAGCGCGGGCACGGGCAAGCTGGACAAGTCGATGATCTCAGCGCCTTCGGATTTCAAACACTTAGCTCACATGGGCTTCTCTAGCGAAAAGGGTTTCAGCAGCAACAATGTCGATCCGACGTGGGGCAAATTGTTGGAGCAATTGGCAGGAATGGGCGTTTCGAGAGCAGATATCGAAGGCAACGAAGGATTCATCAAGGATTTCGTCGCCAATAGGAGAGGCGCTGCTGCTGCTACACGCTCCAAAGGCACAGCACCAGCGCTGTCCAGCACCAAGAAGAAGGTCGCTCCACCCGCTCCTAGTAGAGCTCCCACTTCTGCTCGCAAACAACCTCCTCCTCCTCCTCCAGCTCCGCGGACGAGCACTAGAGTAGCAGCCCCCTCTGCTTCCGCACCACCACCACCACCTCCACCTCCTCCCGCCAGAAGCTCAGCGGCAGCCTCTGCTCCACCGCCTCCGCCACCTCCGCCAGCTCGTTTGGGCGGCTCCACAGCTGCTTCTCCTCCGCCGCCACCACCCCCACCTCCATCAGGTCCTTCCCGATCAGCCGGGGCGCCACCACCGCCTCCTCCTCCGCCTCTCCCACCCGGCAGCAGCAGCAATTCGCCCGCTGCCCCCGCAAATCTCCCCGCTCCCCAATCGGGCAGATCAGACCTGCTGGCTTCCATTCAAGGCAAGAGCGTGGCGAACCTGCGCAAGACTTCTGCACCTGCGGAAAGATCCGGCGGCGGTTTGGGGATGGGAAGCGTTGTGGGAGCTGCTGGAATTGCGGGTGCGGGTGCGGGTGCGGGTGCGGGTGCGGCGATGACGACGACGACGACGACGAGGGAAGATAGTCCGGCACCTGCAGAAGATACAAACGATTTGGCCAGCGCACTCGCTGCTGCACTATCCGCTAGAAAGGACAATATGGGAGATGATTCGGAAGAGGATGGAAGCGATGAGGATTGGTGAGCTTGCATAGCTGCGTGCCAAAGCGTCAGCCTCCGCTCGCAGTAGACAGACGCCTGGCCACGCGGTCCTTTTGCCAACTTGTGCCATTCACGACGCGCACATCGTCTTGCGCGCGCGCTTGTCTGCCCTCACCGCCTGCTTACGTTGTGGCGGGGCTGGACGCCACACAATACCTCGAATGCGATGCACAACTTTTTCTTGCACGTGAACGTGCCACCACTTTCTCGATTCGGATAGATGCATTTCCACGAGACGGTACAGACGATGAGAAGGAGGGGGCCAGTGAAAGAAGGGAGTGCATCAAAAGACGCTATTATCGGCACAGGTAAAAGGCGCGCTGATAGCGTTTGCATCGTCCCTAAAGATGTGCAAAAGTCTAGTTATGGCGACGTACAGTCCTGCGCTGTTCATGAAGAGCGCAATCACAATGATCGCAACGTTTAGCAGTGCCAAAGTCTTTTTCTTCCAATTCTTCTTGAATGGTCGTACGCCCGTTTGGTCGTCCGGATGCCAATTTAGGTGAAACCAGAATACGCCGCTGATGCCAAAGGTGAACCAGGCTATAAAGGTGGCGGATGAAATGTCGAGGATGCTATCGAAGATGGGTACGGCGTTGGCGATGAGGAAAGCGGCGGTCCAAAAGAGGAGGGCGCAGGATATCCAAGAAATCCAAGAAGTCTTTGTATTGCTCGTAGCTTGATTTTGAGCGCCAAGGAGTTTTAGAGAGATGATGTAGAGGTACTTGATGGCGGTGTGACCAAAGACGAGGGCTGTGCCCAGCAGACATGGAAGAGCTATTCCGTAGGCGATCTTTGCGATGGTTGCAGGTGCTGCACCTAGCGCTGGTGAGGTCGTGTATTGACCTGCCAATGCGTACACCACGATGGCAGTGACGACGTAGAGCGTGATAGCTGCCGCCTGAAGCCAAACGAGCGCAGGGACAAAGTCGTGCGAAGCATCTCGCATCTCTGCCATGACGCTCACAAAGCCGGAATTGCCGGCATAAGCGTAGGCTATGTTCAGACATGCGGATAAACCTTGACTGAAATTTGGTCGACCGATCACTTCGATCCGAACTGCTTCCGATTCAGATTGCGCAGCAGCAGCTCCCCTTCCTAGTTGAGCCTCGTCGGCCACTCCGAGCGAAATCATGACGATCAACACGGCTGCAATGATGCTTATCGTGCTCGGAACTCCCACATGCGCCACGAATTTGAACGTCCTGGGCAGGGAGAGGATGAAGGAAGCCAAAGCTGCGAATCCCACGAATCCCGCCGTGCAGAGCGCATTCTCGCTGATGCTATTGAGCGCGGTAGAGATGGTGACGGAAGAGCTTGCGCAGGTCAGCACCAGATTGAGCACAAAGCTGATGCCCACGACCATCTCCAATGCTCTTCCGCCCAAGATGCGTGCGAAATCGACCATGTTGAGCGCGTGGGGATATCGACGCCAGTACTGCAAGAGCACGTAGGCGGTATAGGTCGATAAGAGTCCGATACCTATGATGGCTATCACGCCTGGCACGATGCCTAGTATCTGACAAGCGCGCGGTAGGGACAAGATGCCCAATCCTACTTGGTTGGTAAAGAGGATCAGTGCGGTGTGATATCGACCCAAATTCTTGCTCTCCGATAAGATTGTACCCTTCTCTCTCGACGCTGCCGCCGTCGCCGCCGCCGCCGCAGTTCTTGCTTCGACGACGCCGGATGAAGAGGTGGAGGCGATTGCGTCTACAGAGGTCGGACCTTCATAAGGCTCCACCGACTCCTGCACCATCGCTCCACCATGCTGCTTTTCCACGTCATCTTTGGACATATCCATGGTGCGGGCGTGTAGGCTTCTTCTCCTTCCTCGAGACCGATGTGGCTGAGGGCTTGTGATTGAAGGAGCTCTTTGACTGTGATGATGGGTGGGCAAAGGGGAATGTCTCTTGCGCCGAACTACAGCTGACCCGACTTAAATAAGAAGCGCCAGACATTCCAACCTTGCCGGCTGCAGCGTACCGTGAGTGACACCTTCTCTTTCGTGCGTGCGTATGCAACTCGCTATCCTCATATCGTGCTCCTCGAAGCTTGTCCAAAGATAAGCGTAGTAGTACACTTTGTCAAACAAACGCGGCCTGCTCGAACTCTGCGCTTCTCTACGATCGGCAAGCCGCCTACCGCGCTCCATCACACGGCGAACGACGACATTGTGATTGTCAAGCTTTCTTGGCATCGTGGTCCACCAAAGACGGCGCGACGCGCACTCACTCACGGCACTCCCGCTCGACCGTGACAGATCAGATCAGGGGAACTTGCGCGTACCTGTATACCCGCCGCTGCCTTTTACCCGATAGATGAAATGATAAAGGAGCACGAGCACGAGCACGAGCACGAGCACGCAAAAAGTCTACTGCTACACCTCACCAAACATTTCTCGTGTCTTTCTCGTCGCGGCGTCGGCAGGGGCGCGCTCATAGTTGCCCAGAAACAAAAGCACGGTATAAGTCGCCTGGCTGCTCATGTCCATTCACATTTGATTCTTGGCATTTGCATGCAAACCAAGGCATGCCCCCCTCCCCCGCGCTTGATGAGAAGTGGCTTGCTTGCTGGACACCATCATTAGTGATTTTGATTTGCAAGCTTTCACGCAGAATCTCCCGCCGCGCAAAAGGAGGAAAGAAGCGCGTGCGCGTGCGTGTGTGACATCGGTGGCTTCATTCACATTGCTCGTGCTGGGCCCACATCGCATCGTATCGCATCGACATGCATGCATGCGCGTCTGCTAGCTGCGCTGATGAGCCCAGCAGTCACGACTCACGAGTGGTTTGCCCGAGCCCAGCAGCAGCAGCAGCAGCAGCAGTCTGCAAAGCGCGCGCGGGACAAAGACGCCGAGCCACCGCAAGAGGCTTGGCAAGCCGCTTCGCTTGCTGCACCCGCGCGAACCTCGACAGCACTGACCTACCTGCCTGCCTCCACACCGGTCTGTACCCCCCCTCGTCGAGCTTTCTGCTAGCAGACTGTACTGTAACTGTACGTAGCGGTAACATGCAGACACGAGTCAAGCGTAGTGGCGCTGCCTGCCCGTCGACGATGCAGAGTTCGAGGCATGGGCGATTGCGTTTTGGGGGACAAGTACAGGTTTTGTAAGGCGGGGCCAATCAAGGTGTGATGGATGGATGTTTGGGAAGAGCGAGCTTGCTGTTAGTCTAGATGACGAGCACGTCGTCGAAGCGCCGGCCACTCCCCAAGTTGAAGCGCCAAAGTATCCCAATTTGGGCCGTATGCGTAGCTGAAGCGGGGGACTTGCAGTGCGGCAAGGTGTGTGCTAAAAAGTCTCAAGCAAGCTGGGAATGCTTTCTACCTGCCGCGCGGCAAAGTAGCGCCCAACCTCCTCGCCAAATTTCCAACCGGTCCAGCAGCCGCACCCTGCGCTTCCAAACTGCTCATCATCTCCTGCAACATTCTCGCCCTCTGCGCATCATCCAACGTGGTGGCGGTGGCGGTGGCGGTGGGGCCAGCTTGCCCCTCTGCACGCCTGTCCAATAGATTAGATGCAGGTCCAAAAGTTTCTAATCGACCTAGCAACTTGTCTAAAAGTTCTTGATCTTGCAATGAGAGCGTCTCTTCCTCGTCAGACTCGTCGTCATGCGCATCTGCGTCCGCGTAGATGTCCGATGCGCCTCTGCTGCTGCTGCTGCCGCTGCTGCCGGGCATACGCATAGGCGCAGGACGTCGAACAGGTTCCGCGTCGTCCATGTCCATGTCCACATCCACATCTCCTCGTTGATCCGCCTGCTTCTTTCGAGACAAGTGCTTCTCCAGCTCCGCATCGAGGGAGCGCATCAGACTCTCGAACCCATCCAAGGGCATCTTCTTCTCGCCCTGCTTCTCCCTTGCACTTTGTGCTTGCAAGCCGGTGCTCTGCTGCGTCGAGATCGTGCTTGCCTTGCTCGTCTTTAGCCGCTGTGCTCGCTCATTCGCCTCCAAGCCCATGCGCTCAGGAACAAACCTTGCTGCCCTTCTTCTCTCATTCAAAATCTCCTCGTACTCCTCATCCCTCAGTCCCAATTCCTTTTTGGCAAATTGCAAAAAGCCATTCAGATCCTCCTCTTCGTTTGGTCCTTCGTGCCCCCACACTTCTTGCGCTTCCACCAACACTTCTTCGTCCGGCGTCAGGTCTAGCACAGAGGCGAGATGCGCACGTTCTTGCGTCGATCCCATGTTTTTGGTACTTTGCCGGGTGGATTCGGATTCGCTCTCCCTGTCGCTGTCGCTGTCGGAGTCGGAGGCGCCGTCGTAATGCACCGAAGAGAGCGGGGGTACCGAGTTGGACGGGGGTGCTGGAACGTCCCTCGAAACGGCATCGATCCGCATAGCCGCAGTTGCCGTTTCATCGCTCGAGCTTTGGCTTCCCAGTACCGTTTCGGACATTTGTGCTTCGGCCCTCTGCTTGCCTGTGCCCTTGGACGTCGTCGAAGCTTCACTTCGACCTGCTCCGCCCCATCCCTCCAAATCAGCAAGCGGCAAATTGTTCAAGACTGCCCTCTGTCTTTCCTGCATCGACATTTCCCGCACTCTTCTCCTGGCTTCGCTCAAAGTAATTCCTTTTTCATCCCTCTCCTCCTCCTCCTCATCGTCCTCCTCCATCTCATCCTCAAAAATAGCCCCATCCATCTCTCCTTCAGCGCCCACAAACTCTTCCAACCTCTTCGCAAAAGCCTTCAACTGCTCATCCGCCAACTCTTCCTCCGCTTCCCTTTCACTCTCCTTCGCATCAACCTGCCCATCTTGTTGCTCTTCAGAGTCCAACAAAAAAGCCTCGTCGTCTTCCAGCGTTGAGAGGACGGATTCGGACAGAGAGTCGTCTATGAATGAAACTGCGTGCGAGAGAGGATGATCAAGCACGCTCCTGACTAGCGGCACGATCTCATCCGTCTCTCGTCTATGCCATAGAGGTCCTCTCTTCATCAGTCCCGACTCGCCTGCCACGCATCTTCGTCGCGTCGAACCCCGCATCGAAACAAAAGACTCACCCGTCTATCCCTTCCTCTGAGCCCGCATCTCGCCGAGCCGAAAGAGCCTGCCTCCAGAGCCTTACCGCTTCCTTTTCCAAGTCCCCCCACCTCTGACTACCGCTTATTTCCTGCCCAAAGTATCCCAAAGCGGTCAGGGAGTTCAAGAAGCGCTGATACTCTTGCGTTTGGCAAATCGAAGACTTGTGCGCGAGCGAGGCATGCAGAGTACAAGGACGCGCGATGCTGGGTCAATTTCCCCCGCTTCGATGGCAGGAAAGGGCGGGCAAACTCACGTGGGATGGATCATCGAACATGCGCCTCGTCATCGGACCTCTCCTCATCGCAGCTTCGTAGAGCAACTCCAATCCCGTGCTCAGCTTGATTCCCAAATCTCTTCTTCTCGCTTCTCTTTCACCCACGCCTGACTCTGAATGCCCTCTTGATGCAACTTGTCCTGTTCGCGCTTCCCAAAGCGATTGCACCGCTCCCCGAGCACATTCTCCCCAGATCTTGGGAGGATAGTAGCGAGCGGCAGTCAAGAGAGCGTAAAGATGCTTCGTCATCCTGACCCTGACCAACACCAAGCCCTCTTTGCGCTGCGCAGCGTGTTGCTGATCCTGATGAGCGTCAGCGCGCACAGTAGCAGGACCAAAGACCTTCATAGCGATGGCCACTCTAGCATCTGCCGGTCCTTCCCTCGCTAGAAATGCTCTTGCTACACGTCCCATGAGATTCGCATCCTTGTTCAAAACGCTAGCGACGGTGCTTGGTGCGTACACCAGTGTGCAATGCTGTGTCTGTCGAGCCCAGACGGGAGAGGGATAGCTTGGCATGCGCGTTCCGATGGCTCTCGTAAGACCCTGATGCAGCGTCTCTTTATGATTCGAGGGCGCACGAAGAATGTCGAGTGCGGTATTTGTATCCAAAGGACCTGCTGCTTGAATGGGTGAGGTTTGCATCGCGGGCATTTCAAATGCGCACTCGTCGTCGTCGTCGTCGTCGTCGTCGGAGGAGCGCAGCGGATGACCGGATGCCAGATGAGGAGGGATGAGATGCACGTGACCTGAATAGAGCCAGCATCTACGGCTGGCATTTGCAGGATCGACCCAATGGGGCAACGCTTGCGCTCCTTCGATGCACACCAACTCTCCATCTTCATCCTCCACCCTCGCCGCCAATCCCGCGTCGGCATGCGAGGAGGTGTGGTGCGGGTGCGGGTGCGGGTGCGGGAATGAGCTTAGAAGCGAGCGGGAGTGCGCATCTTCCGTCCAGCGACGTAGCAGATGAACGACCAGCCACTCATCCTCCACCGACACTCCATGTCCGCTCAACACGATGCGCACGCAGCACTCTCCAACAATGTCCAATCTAGGTTCCTCTCTATTCCAAATATACTCGCAGCACTCCTCCTGCTCCTGCTCCTGCTCCTCTGCTTTGTAGCATATCTGGCGCAGAAAGAGTTGCAGATCTGCACGGAGCAGCGCCAAGAGGTGTTGAAGCTGCGAGGGGGAGAAGGAGTGTGGAGGGTAGATGAAGCCGCGCAGTTCGGCAGCTTGTTCGGCCGAAGCGGTAGAGGCTAGGCTTAGCAGTTGGGAAGAGGTCGACGGCAGGCTGGATGAGCGGCTCATCGCGTGTGTGAGTGAGTGAGTGTGAGTGTGTGTGTGTGATGGAACGGGGAAGCTTGTAGGACGATGGGCGCGGGATCAGCAACAAGACGTTGCGCGTGCTTGTGCTTGTGCTTGTGCTTGTGCTTGTGCTCGTGCTTGTGCTGATGGTTCGCGTGATGAAGAAGAAGCAGCGGTGAGTGAATGGATGGTCTGCGCCTGCAAGTTGCAAAGAGTCGCCACTCGAAACACGCTGCGCACACCTCCACTCCTCTTTCTCGTGCGACAACAATTGGCTTTCACCGCCGTGACTATGCAAGCAGCACCGCCATGCATGCACATGACGCGACTCGCATTCTGCAGACCATTCATCCATGCACCATGGCATCCCATCCCATCTCATCCCATCCCATCACCTCCAGTTTCTCCAGAAAGGCCATCTTTGCCGCCCCCTCCTCCGCTGCTCCACCACGCATCAAAGAATGGCAAGACCAACTCGCGCATCGGCAACTCAAGCGCGCGCATCTCTAGCTCGAACATACGCATCCGCTTCGGGCGCAGCTTCAGCTTCAGCTTCCAATTCCGATTCCAACTCGGACGAAGAGATTGTAGCTTGGGCTGCGGGAGAGGCGTCTGATAGTGCGGATGACTATACGCTGGAAGGGGATGGAGATGGAGATGGAGATGGAGATGGAGATGGGGCGGAAGAAGAGAGCGGGAGCGGGAGTGGGAGGGGGAGCGCAAGTGTGACGCCTAGCCTGCACGAGAGCAAGGAGAAAGAGGATGTTGGGGGCGCCAAGAGAAAGACAAAGAAGAGACCAGACACGGGCAAGAGTGATCGAGTGCGCAAGAAACGCACGTCGGGCCTTGCACGAGCACGCGGAAGCGTAGCAGAGAGCACGACGCGCGGTCCAATGGCATCAGCATCAGCATCGGCATCAGCAGCAGGTTCGCGTTCCATGCTTCGCTCCTCCCACCTGTCCCTCAGCAAGGATAGGGACTCGTACAGATCGTACGTGGAGCGAGTGGATGGCATTCGCTCGCTCAGAGCCCTCTGCTCCTGGATCCCAAGCAGCTGCACCCTGCTCAAATCTTCCCAGTGGCCCCTCGACATCTCCTCTGCTAGGGTGCAGAGCGTGGATAGGAAAAGGGCGTACGAGATGCTGCAAGAACAAAAGAGCGGCGAGGTTGCCCTGCCTCGCATCATCAACCTGGCTTGGAAAGGCTGGCATGTGCAAGAGCATGATTGCGCATGGTTGCAGCATCACGTGTCCTACACAGTGTTGACGGAAGAGTAAGTCGTTGCGCGTGTTGGCGTGGCGTGGCGTGGCGTGGCGTGGCGTGGCGTGGCGTGGCGTGGCGTGTATCAGCAGTCTCCTCTCGTCATGGTCCTTTCCGCAACAGGCAGACGCGGGCGGGCGTACTGACTTGATCATATCATCCCCCCTCCCCACTGCACCAACAGACAAGCCGCACCATACAAGCGTTGCCCTCTGGCGCCTCGCAGCGATTCCTCGTCGCATTCGCAAGCCCTGCATCCCACTCAAGTCACCCACACCTTTGCACCCCCTCACTTGCTACATTTCAACGAGGCCCACGTGCGCACGGGCGATACGGTGCGCCTACTGTTGGGTCCGCCGTCAAGTGCGAAAGAGTACGCGATCAAGCGTGGTCAGAGCCAGTCTCTAGGTGAGAAGGTGTGACTCGCATCCAAGGCGCTTTCTCCTTGACTGGGACTGAAAACGTTCGCTTCTGTTTCGCTCTCTCTCTCTCTCTCTCTCTCTCTCGCGCGCGCGCTCTCTCTCTCTCTCATGTGAATGCTTGCGTTTCGAATCGCTCCTCCCTCAAAAGCTTCGATAGGAATACCCAAACCGGGAAGTCACTTGCTCAATACCGGAAGACCAATCTTGTCACTCGATTGGTGTCCCTTGCGCTCCGATCGTCCCAGTGAGTGCCTTTTCTTCATCTCCCCCCTTTTGCGCGACGTCTGCGCAGCAGGACCTCTTGTTCACTCTGCCCTTTTGACACGGCACACTCTCGTGGGCGATAGCCGAAGAGTACTTGGCCATCTCGTGCGCTTCGAGCAGTGAGCGCAAATATTTCGGCAGACCTGCTCCTCCTTCTCCCTCCTCTTTCCCGATCTCGTCGACCGACGCCTTTTCCGTCGAGCCCGTGCCTGCCCATGCGGCACAGCCGCAGCAAACGAAGAGCTGCGTACAGATTTGGAACGTCGGTGCGAACAAGGAAGGAGGAGAGGCCAACTTGAGCTTGTTGCTTTGCTTTGCGAAAGGGGAGCAGGCTGGGCAGCAAGCGGAGGACGAGAGAGCAAGGAAAACACAAAGAGGAGATGCGATTCAGATCGAATGGTGTCCCGTTGCACATCATGTGAGTCTCGCATTGCTCCTCCCTCCCCGCAGAACAGAGTGGGGGAGGGCCAAAGCATGAGCTTCTGCTAGACATCTGCAGAGACTTGGCAAGGCGCGCGCTTTCGCATCACACACTCGTTGCCTCTTCTTTGCCAATCATTCACTCCTTGCCGCGCGCGCCTCCCCTTAGACGAGCAAAAGATTGGGATTACTGGGGTGTCTGTTTGAGAATGGTGGGTGGGAAGTGTACGATGTGCCCCACCCTTCGCTCGTCGGGAAGAAGGAGAAGGAGCCTTGTGCTGGTGCGTTCTACGACTGCCTTGATGGCTTGCTTGGACTGCATTTATCACCCGGGCTCACATTGTCTCTCCCCCTCGCGCTCGCCCTGGCTCTCGCTCTCGGCAGTCACGCTGCAACCCATCTTTGCCGCTTCTTTGCGCTCCGACTTGTTCACGTGCTTTGCGTGGGGCGGACAAGAAAGGGTCGCCATGGGTTGCGCAAGCGGTGAGCCTTGTCGTCGGTTCTGCGCTTTGCTTTGCTCAAGGGGTGCGCAAGCTCAAGACAATTTTTTTGCACGTTTGCATTCGCTGGACAGGACATGTTGCGGTGTATGGTGTTGGCGATGCGTTGAGGTGCGAATCAGCATCATGTGAGTAGAGAGGGTTGGTTACCTCACCGCGCGCGCGCGCGCGCGCGCCTTTGCAGCCTTGTGCCCCTCGATGCCGATACTGCAACTTTGCGCAACAGGTAGACCTTCGCACTACGTTGAAGCCTCCGAGGGTCCCGTCACTACGCTCTCCTTTCGCATGCTGCCCCCACTACAAACCTCGCTGGAGGAAGAGAAGGAGGGGGCTGAAGAATCGACGAGGCTTTACGTGGAGAAGGAGGATGCTTTGCCCAGCGTGCTCTTTGCGGGTGGGGTGGATGGATGTGTGAGATTGATGGATTTGGACGCTTTGCCGGGAGCAAAGGTGAACTTGCATCATTATCGAAGTGAGTTTCATTCGCGCGGGGCGCGCATTGACGCGCATGCCACTCCACTCCACGACTTGTCCCCATTCGCACCTGATGAATCTCACCCTCACTTTCTCGTCACTGCGCGCCACGCACAGACTTGAACCATTGCTCCACCTTTTCACCACATCTTGGAAGCTTTGTGTGCGACAAGGTGGAAGGCGATACGCTCACGCTCGTCAATATGCGCGCGCTAGGCTACGGTTCTCAAAAGAGTCTACTAAGAGCTTCTGGACCTTTTCAAGTGAGTGCTGGTTGGGGCCATCTGCAAAGAGCATTCATGTCTCCGCTACAAATCAATTTGCAGAAAGCTCAAACTGACGAACAAAAAAAAAAAAAAAAAAAAAAAAAAA